TGTTCGTGCTTTCAACTCTGTTGCTGTTTTTGCTGCTGCCATCGTGGCCGCCATCGCACAACGTTTCAGCTACACACGGCAAAGAGAGAGATGTCGAAACATAAACGTTGTGCGTGTTTGTCGAGTCGATTCTGAGCATTCACATGTTCATGATTCCCCAAACGAACATAAACCGAATTAAATCGACGAGGAGGTAAAACCAAATGAAAAGTAATGAAGATAGGAACGAATAAAAAAAAACACAACAAATGGAATTGAGTGTGCTTGGGATTACTTTTTTTCTTCGTTTTTATTTTTCTTTTGTCGTTCATTCTTTGGCAGCGCTAGTCTTTCATCTTAATTTCTAAAGCATTATGATAAAGCGCGTTATACATTTTATACATATCCAATGTTAAAGTAAGAACAATTCAATTGTGCGAAGATTGTGCAATTGAATTAAAGTAATGCTGTTCTACAATGAAATTGAGACGAGCACCGATAAAATTAAAAAGTGTAAACTTCAGAGATTATAAAAACATGCCAAATCGATTGAATTCGATTATTGCTTTTGAATGGTTTCGAGTGTTTAGATTTGGTTAGCTCAAGCGTAATGTTTTTCGAAGCAATTCAAAACTATAGAAAATTTGACAAAAAAGAACCATGCATGACTGTATTTGATAAGTTTTACGAAATGGATTTTATGTCATTTTGTTAGTATTTGTGTGATTGTTTCGTATTAGATGGCTGTTAAATGACGTAAGTATTTTTTTTTTTAATTCCATTTTCCAACTAGTCATTTTTCTTTGATAAAATGTGCTCTAAGGCATAAAAATAATTAGGAAAGTTCACGCTTTTATCGCGTTGAGAAAGAGAGGGTCTGAATGTATGGTTTTTTTCATATTTGAAACGGAAGTATACATAAAATTCAATTCCATAACGAATTTTTAATGGATGGGGTTTGCCTTCGGCAGCAGTGAATTACTTTAGTTTACCGTATGTTTTATAAATGGTAAATTTATTGAAATGTGAAGTAATGCGATTGCCTTTGTTGATTGGTATTGGCATTCGAATCGATTCGACATCGACGATTGATAGTGGTTTTGTTTCGCTTGGCTTGTGATGAAAGAATGGCATGGTGATTGCTTTCGAATGGAACTCAGATGGCAATGGACAATTCGTCTAATCATGCACACACTCAATCAAAAGCACAAACACGAGCGTTTGGACGCTCATTCATTCTCATTAGTGAAACATTCTCTCTCTCTTTCTCTGTCTCTTTCTTTCTCTGTCAAACAAAATGCTACTTCGTGCTTAAATAAACATACGAACTCAATTGTGTGGTAAACGGTGTCGTATATGTACATTGTATATGTCTACGCCCTGAATGCAGAACGTTTTCGAAAAACCATCGTTTCAATCGAAAAACTCGCTTCAAAATCACCCCCATCATGTTTTGCCCCAAATTCTTATTCATTCATTTCCCATTTATCTTGATTTCGTATACACCGGGTGAATCGGGTGTTTCATTCAATATTTGATTAAAACACACACACTCACATTTCTTTCCGGCCATTCTACTGCTTTCATCTTTTGTCTTTGTGGTGCGCAAATTTTCCAACATTTCCCAATACATTGCTAAAATGAAAGCCATTGATATATTTTCTGAAAGGTAAAATTAAACGATGCATGTAAATGAATACAAACCAAAACATTCGTTCGAATACACTTTAAATGTAATATTATGTATAGTTTATTATACAAATTAAATTCGGATCGCGTCAAGTCATTAGAAAACTTTATACAGATTTTGACTACCGTCAAGAGAGCCAATGTTTTTATTTAGTTTTGCCAAATTTCAGATCATTTTGCAAAATTCTTGTTTGTGTGAGTATGTGTGTGGGTGTATTTTTTTTCTTGTAACTTTTCAATGGTCGATATTTTCAGTGCCTGTATTTTCTCCATTTTCGTTTAATGTTGTTCGTTTTTAATTATTTTGTGCTTGACTGAGATGCCAGTTAATTTGTATATATTTTTGTGTGTGTGTGTGATATTTGATGTTCAGTGCTGAACATAATGCTTCTAGTCGTGAACTTTAAAAATTATTTTCGTTCTTTTGCTCTCTGTGTTTTCGGCTTCTTTTTTTATAAATCCAATATGCTGCACTGTTTCAAATATTCTGCGCTTCAAAATCACGCAAACATGTCGAAGTTTTAGTCTTGGGGCGAATATACAATTTTGAGCTGTTTGCCTTTTGATGAAGGTGGCAGCCAGAATTGCCGTACATTGAATCCGTTTTGAATAGGAGAATTCAAACAATGCACCCCCTTCCCCCTGTAAAAAAAAATTAATTTTCTCTCTGGCAACCATAAGAATAGCAATAATATCATTGATTCGTTACATATAATTGCTCAGTTGTTGTAATTTTTTTGTTCGCATTTCAGAACGTAACAAAAGTCTTCAACATTTTCCATATTTTGGAAATGATTTTTGAAACGGCTTTTGTTCTCATCTCAAACGGAACCATCATTTTTCGGTTCATCCAATATGCAATATAATATTGTTCCCCTCGTGCATAAAAATCTGAAATTGTCATTTCAATTGAATTCGATTTGGAAAAAACGGCACATTATACTCCTCTTTTTACATTTCAGCTAAAATTACTTGTATAAACCGAAATTGTATTTGTAAATGTTTGGTGTGGCAGCCCACCATCGTCATCGTCGTCGATTATTGTATTTTGAAACCATATTGTTTGTATCACGGAGCACAATATAAGCGTCACGTATATACTTTGTGTGCCACATCCGTAGATGATCCGAATCCACTTTTGGGGTGAAGACCATGAGATTGCGTGTTTTTTGTAATTATTTCATGTACACCTTAATTACATTTACAACGCTAATAAATATTACTGTTCTTTATTCTTTTGTTGTGTATGTGTATACTGTATAGCCTGTACTAGCTTACATTTGGAATGTGACATCAGAGAAAAGTTTCAAACAAGTTCACTTCATGCTGTTGTTAATTTTGGGGCGAATTAAGCGCAATGCATGTGTATTTTGTGTGTGTACCGAATTGGGTATGACGGTACGTTTGAGTATATGGTATAGTTTGATGTGGTACTGTTTCATTTTGCTATTACGGTCCTTGCTCTCTCTTTTACTTTTTTTCTCTATTCCACACAGCTAATGGATGATTGGAGTAAACAAATAAGAAGCGAGTGGGAGTTAAAACACCCATGCTTATCAGCACCATCAAAATATTATTTAATCTAAGGCTATAGCTGTATTTGCCTAAGTCTTTTATTTTGTCACTTTTTTATGTTCGGTGTTTTGGATTAGACTGGATGTGAGTGTTTTTTTCCCAATTCCCTTTTCGCCTCGTTTCCATCAACACTCATTACAGTATCAAGCACCATTGAGAAAGAAAAAAAAATAACATAAAAATTTGTCGTTTCTCTTTGGCACTCAATCGATTCAATATCGAAATGAAAACTGTTCCCCCATTTTGTATTTTAGCTAAAAATTATTTGTATCAGGTGTACTTCACATGAAGCTGAATGGTTTTATGAGCGACGCACTTGCCGAACGAAAAATAAATTACAAAAGCGTTTCTATCACGTTTTGCAGTGAAACTTTTTGTGTTGGAATGAAAAGCCGGATGGCATTTTTACTGCCATTTCTTGATCGTTCTACATATTCCCTGTTATATTTTATATATATTCGTTTACGAAATGGAGAGCGAGAGAAAAAGCAATAAATAGTGCAATTCCTATCATATCTATCTCTCTAGCGTATATCTAAGTGCTTTGTGGAATGACGAAGTTTTTTCTTCTTCCTTTTTTACAAACCACTCATAGCCATTCGTGTTAGATGCAAAAGATGTGTGTGAAACACACGTTGTTCGCTGTATTTTCACGTGCTTTTGTGTAATTTGCAGTCAATTGTTTGTCAAATTGTGGTAATATACTGGCCGAAAGCCAGCTGCAATAGTATCTGGGTGGTCGATGTTGGCAATTCAAAATGTAAAGCAAAAAAGCGTTTTAATGAAAAGTTTAAATGAAATTTTGAGTGAAGCGTATTTTGCCAATTTTTATTAGAATTTACACTATATTCAACATTGTCGTGTTGTATTTTCACTTTTCATGCGTGCGAAACAATGATAGTGGGGTTGGTAGATCTATATCGCTTGTTACATTATTCAAAATGGTCTTTTTCGCTTGTACATTCACTAAAATAATTAAAACTTGGTAAATTGAATTAGATGAGGCTGTTTTGATCATTACAGAGAATATGAATACGCTCTACTGTGTACACGGTAATGTCGAGAAATGCGTATGTATGGCAAGTGACGCATTCTACACTTTTACATTAACACACAGTGTAGTTTATCATGGTAGTTCATTTAAAAAGCCATTGCATTTGCGAATGACAATTTCTCTTCCTCTCTCTCTCTCTCTCTCTCTCTCTCTCTCTCTCTCTCTTTTGTTTTCAAAACATAGAATATTCAGCGACCATTTCGAGGTTTTTTTTAATACAAAATTACAAATAACCATGACATTTATTAAGTTATATGCATGACAGAGACGTTGTTGTTTGGACAAGGGAAAGAGAAAACGAATATAATTAAAGCACGTAAACAACAACAGGGACAATGTCGGCTTATACGTATATGCTTTCGTTGTTTGAAAATCAGAGGTGAGTCATACTTGGAAATTGAAATAGCCAAAATGTAAATGCAACACTCTTTCCAACTTCCAACACCGTTAATACGCCGTAAATGTGCGTGATTGTGGTCTCATAAAATGGCATTTACTTTTTGAATTTGAATTTTTTTGTTTCGTCTTCATTGGTATGCGACATTGTTTTATATGTTGTTTCTTTTTTTCGCTCTCGAAGAACTAAGGGAGATTCATTCATTTCAGGCGCACCAGCGAGACCACGAAAGGTGAAAAACTTCTTTCGATTGGAAACTATTTTTTAATTCATACACTCAATTTGAAAACGAAAAATTAAGCTTACCTTGACAGCTATACCCATTCTTATTTAATTCATATCCTTCTGTGCAGTCACATTCATACATGCCATCGTGTAGCTCATAGCATAATTGTTCACAAGGACTTCCATGACCGCAACGACCTGTTCGAAAAGGGAAAAAAACAACATAAAATTCATTAAACACATTTAAATCATTACCATGAACAGCAGTTCACATAAAAAATTAAATTAATTGAATGATTGCCATTCAAGCATTTCGGCTTGAACTATTCGATCTTTGTCATGGATTCGTCAGTAATTATTCAGCCGAATAATTAACCAATTGCCAGAAATAATCGAATAATTGGAAGCAGAATTTTTTTTTTTTTTTTTTTAAAGAAAAAGAGCGTTTATTATTTCAATAAAACCAAAGCGACTCGCTTAATTTTTATGCAAGGATAAATATTGTACGGAATTTTAATTCAAGATATTCAAGATACTGAAAAACTGTGCACACTCATTGGCAAAACCGTTGACAGTGCTATTCTGTAAGTCTTTGGATCAAGGAGGTGTTCCGGCATCGATGAAAAATTCTCGAATAGTACCAATATTCAAATCTGGGAAAAAAAGCAATCCATCGAATTACCGGCCAATAGTGATAATACCAACGATTGCAAAACTATTCGAAATGGTGGTTCATGGCAAAATCGACGCATTCGTCAATGGAAAAATCAACCATAATCAGCATGGATTCGTGAAAAATCGATCAACCTCAACAAATTTACTGCAAAAGGTAAATTTCACGATGGACTCAATGGTCGAAAAATGTCAAACCGATGTCACAGACTTCGAGAAAGCCTTCGATCGTGTCAATCACAAGATATTGTTGCAAAAATTGGCGAAATTTGGACTCGGCCGAAGACTCGTCAAATGGTTTCATGGATACTTGACAGCCCGAACACAATTTGTTGGAATCGGCGAAAGAAAGTCACGGACTTTCACCGTATCGTCAGGCGTACCAGCGGGAAGTATACTGGGACCATGTCTTTTCATTATTTTTATTAATGATATTGTTGAAACTGTGTCAAATTCTCTTGTTTTGCTATTTGCAGACGATTTAAAGTTGATTCGAAAAATTCGCTCTCCCGTTGATGCCGGTAATTTTCAAAATGCCATTGATCAGTTGGGTGTTTGGTGCACACAAAACAAACTCTACTTGAATATGAAAAAATGTTTCGTCATAACGTATGCAAGAGGTGGAAACATAGTCAACTACGATTATACGATCAACAATGGACAACATACGTTTGAACGAGTGAATTTACATAAGGATCTGGGCGTGATTTTTGACACCAGGCTAACGTTTGTCAACCACATTGATGCGAGTATAGCCAGTGCGCATGGAGGGTGGAGGGTTTTATAAAACGAACACTGAAAAATAAGTTCACGATATCGAATCTGCAAAAATATTATATTTAGCACTAGTCAGATCAAAATTAGAATACGCAAAAATTGTATGGCAGCCATACCATCGTATCCACTCCGACAGAATAGAGTCAATTCAAAAAGATTTTGTGATATGGACGTTAAGATTTATATATCAAAGAGATGAGAATTACGTATTGCCACCGTATCAGTTTAGATGTGATGTTTTAAATATTCAACCACTTTGGAGACGGCGTATAAATGCCTCTATATTTTTAATTTACGATCTCTTATTAGGTAAAATAGTGTCAAATTCGCTTAGAAATAAAATTGTTTATACAAGACTACAATATAACATGAACCTAAGAAATCTGAGGAATACTGAACTGATTAGAGTAAGAATGTTTACATCAGACTATGCACATAATCAGCCATTTTACGTAGCATGTAGGAATTTCAATTTAATACGAGAACAATTTTTTGAATCGGCATCAAGAGAAATTTTTAGAAATAATATTGTTAAATTGGACAATTTGATATTTGATAATCGGTGAACTGATAGTTTTAAGAAATGTATGGATTTTAAAGAGATTACACAATGAACACAATCGGTGCCCGATCGGGTAGTGTTTCATTGTTTCATTGTAAACGATATTGTACAAATTTTGTGATAAATTCAGTCTGTGATCAGACGGTGAAATAAATAATTAAATTAAAATTATTCTAAAGCTTTTTGTAATGCCAAGTTGAATTTTCCATTTTGAAAAGTTTCGAATGGCGAGTTGACGTTTTTACAGAAATTGTTTTACTTTTAGAATATAACCAAAAGACGTCAAATACGATAATAGAATAAAGTACTCAGAGAAATTGAACAGTGTGAACATGAATGTGTTCTTGGACATTCAAGTCTATTTGATTCACATAGTCTTGAATATTTATTTTTTGAAGGTAAATAGCATTAACGAATTTTTTTTCTACTTGTTTCATTAGGAAAATATAAAATAAATGTAAATGATTGAAAATAAAATGAAAATAATTTAAATTGGAATGAAAGAAAAATTAACAAAAATTTTAGTATTGAACACAGAACGTTCGCTTGATACAGTCGACACGTATCCACAGAGCCACATCAGTGCATGATTTGCACTAAACTATATGACTACTTGTGCAGAGTGTGTGTTTTCCAAATGAACCGTCGCACATTTTCATGCATAAAAACACTTTAATCGTTGTTTAGTCTCTTTCAATGTACAAAATCGATTAAATATTGAAAAAATAATACAAATTATCCCAAATATGAACGTGAGAGATGAATTTTGTTTGAGTTTTTTACATCGCAATGCTAATTTTTTTCTAGAGCAAAATGTCACTACAAATTGAATCAATATCAAACCAAATTAAGTTTTAAGTCTTTCATTGGATATTTAACAATAAAATAAAAACATGAAAAAAATTTAATAATTTAAAAAAAATAGTTTTTTCACGCAAAATCATTTTACACTGAACTTGCAAAATCAAAGTGTAAAATGACGATTCACACTGGGAAGAAACAACTTCAGTGTAAATGGGAGGAATACAATGAACACATTCATGTTCACACTGTTCAATTTCTCTGAGTACGATTTCGTTTGTGTTGGTAAAATGTAAAATGAAATGAGCTAAACCGTGCTAAATGTGGCAATATTGACAAACACAAATATTGAACCACATTGCAACTGCATTGCAATCACACTCACCCATTTTGTCATCTTCTTCACTGGATTTCTCCAAATCGTTTCCATTGATTGCAATGCGACGAGAACTAACCGAGCAGTATTAACGTTCAACGGTAAACATCGCTGTTTCGCATAGCGAATGTTTTAACAAAATTTATCTTTGCCCTACCGGATTGTTTGTCAAAATCACTTAAAACTTTTCCCAATTTCTTCTATTACCAATGAACTTGTTATTTTCGTTTGCACTACGAAAACTGTCTACGTAAATGTTTTCCTATTCATTCAAAGATTTTAGTAACGCCTAGAGAATGCCCAAAACTATGTGACAAATATGCAATAGAAGGTCGCTGAATGGAAATGAATGCACATTGCGGGTGTATCAAGTGCGAGCGCTCACAAAATTTTTTGGCCACGCAAAACTTTACAAATCACAAATGGCCAAAAATATTTTCGGAAAATTTATGTATTCCCATTTAAAGCATATGGTTTTTAAACAGGATGAGGTACATTTGGTAACCAGCATTGCCAGCATATTAAATGAAACATTCATTATTCACTTGGAAATTTTGAGAGAGTGTCGGTACAAATGTTGAAAATCATTCAGTGAGTGATTTGAAAATAAAGCGCGCATAATCGTACATTTACCAAACGCTGTTGAGCTTCATTTGTATGTGACGTGTAGGAATATGGCTTGGCGAGTGTTATTTCAATGTTGGCAAACAGTGCGCGCGTTTTGTGTGTTGCATGAATTGCTGTTCGACAAAAGATTGTAGACAAAGACACACATGCCCACATTAAAAGACAACAACAGCTACACAGTAATATGCAAATATTACCGAAAAAGTCTCGAATGCGGTGAAGTTTAAACTGAGAAATATTTTATTTGTAAACGAATCTGTGGCACAACTCAAACTGAAAATAAACGCCAAACTGATGTTGATAAAGGTGAATGAGTATTTTGATTTTGAGCATACATGCATCGTCCATTCTAAAGTATATGAAAACTGACAGATTTTCATTTTGCACTCTATTCATATTTTCTGCCAATGCCAGACTCATGGCATTGATGCTGTATATTTGGTTTCAGGAAGAATCATTTTAAACTAATGCATCAAATGCGGTGTAATTTCATAAAATTCAGAATAATATCTCAATCACGATAAATAATACTTGGTTAATGCAATCTAAATACCACACATCTTACTCTATTACCATTGATGCCATCAATTTTTATTCCATACATTTTCCGCATTATAATTTTATTCGTGCTTCGAGCAGTTTTAGGTTTCATATGTGCTCATGCAATTTTATGGTTTCATTGAAATGTTCGCCCTTTCGACTACGTTAGATTTTTAATAGCATCAATCTTTTCACGCAAAACTCAATCCAGATCGAAAAATTCGTTTGACAATCATAATTTCATGTTAAAAGTAACGAGAACTTTTTGTCCACTTTTTAATATCGAACACAATGTGTACGACATAGAATAGTTCCCATTCACAGGTGAGATTCAAACGGATATTGTGTACGTGTGTATGTGTGTAGTCGCATTAAAACAATGGTCGCTTGTTGTGACATCAAGTGAAAATTGCATAGCCAATGACGGAAATCAATTAACACCTGTTCTGACTTTGTTTCGAAACGATCAGCACATTCTTTTCAAATATATCCGGAAGTAGTTACTTGACAACAAACAAAACGTCGGAAATTGCGAGGTTTTGCCACTTATGCTACACCATAACAAGAAGAGACAAAGTCAAGGCTGACACATTCACTTACAACATACATGACAAAAAAAAAAGAAGAGAAATAAAACACTGAAAACGAAAAGAGAAGTTACACCACTTGAAAATTCAAAACGAACGAATAGTTTAAAGTTTGAACACTTCGAACGTTATTCGCAATTGCATTTGCACACACACAAAGGGAGGGAGAGAAACGAATAAAGAAAGACAAGAAGCTTTACAAATTTCACTTCATCGAACATTGATCCAGCAAATCCTTCACAAAATCAATAGCTTA